TTTCAAAGCAGTAACGAGCGTGAGTTCAAATTGAGTGTAACAGCCGTAAATTGTAAACATTTATCTCATAAACACTACTGTAGATCAGGAGCCGATAAACGGCTCCTGTGAAGATAAAGTAAGTATGTGTCGGAACTTTGGCACGATTTGTACCCGATTTGTACCCAGCAGGGTAGCCCTAATCCGGAATCCACGGCTTGGAATCCAGAATCCAAGACTGTTTTTGGATTCCTATACATGACTTTACATGGGGCGATGTGTGATTCTTGTGACGGCCATTCACCCCGATGAAGGCCGATAAAATTAAATGGTTTGAAATATACCGTGTGGCACGAAATTTTTGCGGGATTTTATCTTTGCGGATGTCGATTTTTTGTGTTTTGCGAGAACATTTAATTTTTTGCGACTAGGAAAGATTGGTTTTTCTTACTGGGAATTAATTTTTGCCATTTTCAGAAAGTACCCAGTACCCAGCATTGACAATACTTTCGTTTTTATTGAGTACGTGCAATAGAGATGCATATTTTCAAACAATACTGCGGTGTGCGTCTGTATTTCTTTATATACCGCTTTGTTTCTTTACGAAAAAGACAAGCCGTAATTGAACAGACACGATTTCTTGGTACTGTATTTTTGTGTAGTGAATTCAGGTTAGAATATTTACTCTGGAGTAAATTTTTGCGGGGAAAATTTGTGCGATAATTTTTATTTGCGGGAACTTAATTTTTGCGGATCGCTGGAAAAAAAAAAACGGAAAAATCGCAAAAATTAGAACCCGCAAAAATTTCGTGCCACACGGTAGTAGAAAGACAGCAAAAATCACTTTTTTTTTACTTTTCATTGGTAACCAGACCATCGGCGCGGCACAGCTTCGCTCCGTTACAGAAATCGCTCTGGAATTAGTGTGATCATACTGAGCTTTATCCAATATGTCCTGTATTCGTGTTAGCGCAGGAGCTATCCGAGCTATCCTGGGTATGACATCAACAATTACGCATATCGAGGAGGGTGTTATTATCTTGCGAGGCCGAAGACAGATATGATATATGATTCTTTATGTCTTAAGAAGAAGAAAGGAGAACTGAGAAGTATTGGTGAAGGACTGGGATGGCCTCTTTTTATATAATCTTGCTTAATCGATGTTCTAAACTAAGTACCGTTTAGCCTTTCTAAAACAACAGTGAAAGCAGAATGAAGCAGGTAATGTTCTTTCAGTGGAAGACAAAAACTAAACCACGGACGACAACTTCGAATCAAAAACAGTTACGGTAATGTTTCGACGCGATCCTTCAGACAAAACGGCCTAACTTGAAGCGAAGAGGCGGTTTGTTTCTCTTTAGTTATACTTTTTTGTTGCGTGCCAGAAAAATGATTTTGGAAGTTTCTATATTTTTTCCACATTGCCACCCAAACAAGTGGTCCATTCGTGAAAGTACAATTTTTGGATTTTTGTCCTCTTCTTTTGTTCGGCTCGTCGATTTTTTTGTGGTTTAGTTATCAAGTTTCGTTGATTTGAGGCGCGGTTTTACTCATTTCCGTTGCCGCCCTCCTTTATTTCTACAGCAATTCAGTGTTCGTATCGCTTGCAGTCGAATACGCCGTCAGGTCTATTATTGGTTGCCTTCTCATCTGCTCCCTCGTTTCTACAGCCAGACTTTGTCTTTTCGCGGCTCCAACATGACAAACCCTTAGTCGAGTAGGACAGCATTTATAAAAGACAGCTTTCAGATTTGACCGGAAACTTTCAATGAATATAAAATACAAGCATGGATTGCAAGCGCTACTGGTAAGTATCAACCAGTAAGTGAATGCAATCAAAAATGGGTATTGCATGAAGATTTCAACGGAGCTTGGATGAAACATAGCTAAGCTAAGAGTCACAAAAGCCGGCGTCCACGAGGCTGCAAACAGCAGTACGACTAAAATCATTAGAAGTGTGACCCTTCGTGCTGTGCGTCTGGCCAAGTCTTGCTGAGTGTTGGAACACTCACCGGCACGTTTGCGCATCCAAAGGCGATAGGCTATTATGGAGTATAGAACAGCTATGAGAACAAACGATCCAATGAAACATGACGCAGAGGTGAAAAGTTCTTTCGTGCTCTGCGCGAAATACATACAGTTAGGAGTTCCGTCCTCGCCATAATGGATTCTTGACGATATCACCAGTCTTAATGAAAGTAAAGTTGAAACTATCCAAATTAAAAGAATTCCTATCTTAAGCACCAATTTGGATGTCGTCTTATGGGTCAGCGGTCGTGTGACTGCAAGGAAGCGATCAATTGCTATGGCAACCAGGCTATAAACTGAGCTATTGAGTAAAACAGATCCACCAAAAGTGTAAGATTTACATAATACTTTCCCCGCAGCTCCTCCGAACCATATCTTTCCAATATAAAGTTGCTTGATAAGGTGAGGGGTTTGGAGCAATGAGATAAGAAAATCGCAAAAAGCCAAATTCATTATGAGACAATTCGTTGATGTTCTCATGACGCGGTTTGTCATTATCACGTAGATCACAAGAAAGTTCCCGGTAATTGAGACCAGAAAAGAAAACAACATGGCGGCGGTGAACAGAACTTTCGTTTGCAGGCTGTAGTTTGGATCGGTAACATACTGAAGATCTGTAGATTTAAAAGTTTCAAAATGATGATCAGATGAAACGGTCCAAATAGAAATTTGTAGCCAATCCGTTTATGCACATGCTATCATTGACTGAGGATGATGTCGCTTTAAATGGCCGAAATCAGTATTTTTTGGTATCACTGACGTTTTGTTTTTCCCTAAATTCATTGCTTTTTGTGGGTTAAGCAAGCTGTTGCCTTTTGCAGCTCAACCCTTTCAGCTTTGGCTTCCATGAAATAAGTGCTAGGCACAACTTAGCTCTGTCCCGAGCTTTTACCCCTTTAATTCCAGCCGATCAGCAGCGGGGCGACCACGCAGTGATGGGAGAGGGAGATACTCACAAATAAGCCAACATGAAAATCTTTCCAAGAACTACAACCAAAGTGCTTTTTTCCACTTATTAACCGAGAAAATCACAAGTCGCGGGAAAAACTTACTTTAAGGCCAGCTGTACTAAACATATTTAACTGCTTAGCTGTTACCAGATGGCCTCACAAAATTGAACTATCCCCACGATCTTGCTTTTTCATTGACTAACCACGAATAGATTAAAAGAAAGCAATAGAAAAAGTAATTTTTCAAGCACACTAATTGGAAAAGCATTGTTTACATAAAAATACTTTTTTGAAAAGAGTATGCCGCGATGTCCTACAAAACAAGTGTTTTGTTTTCATTTAATTTTTTATCGTCAGTAACTTGCCAAGATCTGTTTGATTAGCTTATATGCAAATTTAAAATCGAAAGGAAAAGCCGCCTAAAATTTTGATATTTTTCAATCTGTAAAAAAGTGTTGCTTTTTAAAAAATATTTCGATTTTTTTTTTTGACCAATAATTTGGAACATTGCAAGTAAAACCAAATATGAAAGTAATGAAAAAAACAAAAATGCTTCGCAAATAGTAAGTTTCTTTTTTTTTAACCGCGGTCATTCAAATTTTTCTTGGTTTACACTTTTGCTCTTAGGGAGAAGAGAAACAATTACTCCCCTCACACGTACTTACCATTTCTCGAGCTGGTTTCATTTTGAAACGAGATATTTTCCGTTATTCCTTTCGCACCATGCATCATGCCCATGTTGTTTGTCCCAAGAAACAAATAGCTTTGACTTGTAAAAAATTGGTCTCACTAAGAGAGTTGTCGTCTGTGATTCCTGTTCCAGTCTACCCAAGGTAACGGAGGTGCTATAACTCCGTCAAAACCGAAAGGATATGTAAGTTGTCTTAATGTTGACTCTGAATATAAGTTCGGTAGGGGGCGGTTGATTCCTGCTTATTTTCTTGTCACTTATGGTCCCTTCATTTCCTTCAAAAAAATAATGGAGCCCTTTATCACAAAACACGGTGTTTATTTGAACTTTTGATTACCACAGAAGTACAATATTTGATCGAAATATTGTTAATGACTTTTATTTGGCATTCGAAAATCAGGAGCTCCGTAACAAATATTCCCTTTCATGTCTCTCTCAAAAGGCCATCACTGATTCGGTTGTAACTAATTTTGTACGGTTAGTTAAAATAACGAAAATGTCCGATGAGGCTGGAACTAATTAAGGATAATCCTATATCCACCCTTAATTTAACTTTTTTTTCTTTTAATCCGCGATAGCCCGGCTATCGCAGATATTTGTGACTGATAACGAACCTGACAAACAACTTGATCATGAAGGACGCCTATAATATTAAATTAAAATAACTTACCAAGAGAGTTTAAAGAGCGTGAGGCATCATTTCCATTCTCGCAGCGAGATTATAATCAGTGAAAATCATAGTGTCGGCTGTAATTCATGAATAGTCAATTCGGAACTAAAGTTATAACAGAAGGAATCTAGCAGCTGTCTATGTTTTGAGATCACATAATATTAAGTATCTGTTTTAAATCACTGTTTGGTGTTCTTGTAAATAAATAAATGTGATTTAGGGGAAAAAGCACCATATGAGAGACATATTCATACCCAAATTCATGAAACATCTAAAAAAAAAACGAATCTGATTTTAGAAAAGCCCTTTTTGTGCATGTACAGCAGATTAGCCGTGGGCAAGTATTTGTTTGTTTTGCAGTTTTGTTTGTTTGTTTTCCAGTAGCTCCTGGAATTTTGCTGAAAAAAGCGTTTTGAAAATAGTTGAGCCGTTTTCTGGTCACTGCCAGTTAAGTTATTAGGAGCTGTTTTTAGTTTGTTTTGCTGGGGGTTTATTTTCGGGCATTCCTTTTGATGGGTGGGAAAAGTTTTGGGAAAAGCTTTTAGGTCGCATGCTCTCGATCTGCTGTGACCCAAAGGGAAAATAAGAGACTGCTCGCGGCCTATTTTTACTCCAGATTTGTTTTGAATAGAGGGTGCACGTGACAAATGACAAATTCTGGAATATATTCATCCAGGGACAAAAATTTTCTTTTGCATGAGAAATCTAAAGCTGTCTGGCATGGCAAGGTTGCTGATGATGATGTCATTACGTCTCATGAGACAGCAACAGCTTGATAATATGCAGTTAACTGCGAGCAAGCCCTCCGGGGCACTCTGGTGGCGGGAAGAAAAAGGAGTATTCCCCCCCTTCACCCCCTACCCCCGGAAAAGCTTGCTCGCGCGCAGACTACCCTACAAACTCAGTTTAGTTATCTCTTTTGTGACCTTAATATGTCATTCACGTTAATTGTTTTGATGAACTTCTTCTAACAGTAATATCATGGCATGATGCGATTGTTAACATTCAACACAGGCTTTCGTCCTTGATCCGGGAAAATGTTCCTGATCTGAAAAATAGTCGCTGCTTAGTTGTTCTCTCCTCCATCGCAAAGGCAGCTGGGAGATAACGCTGGCGATCCTTGTACACTCGGGGCAGCGATTCTGGTGAAAAGAAAGCTCAGCTCGTCTTCATGATTATGCGTCAAGAGAGGATAATGATACATAAATATATTGGTCTTCTAGCCCCAGATCCTCCAAAGCTGGATAACACTATATGTCTACCCAATAAATTACTAAGTATCAGGCATTCCTGCTGCTATCCGGTGGAAAGACAGTTTTCCGCTGGATAGAGTTATCCACTTTTTGAACCACCATAGGGCCAGATATACCCAGGGCACACTACAGCATCAGTGAAGAGAAGTGTCTCATTCTGTGATTCAAATTATTTTTAGCTGTTTTATTTTTCTGTTTTAATAATTTTTTGAGTAACATGTTTTTTCAGAGGTTGTGAATTGGAATTGTACGTGCTCTACCTCTTATCCCTTTCTCCGTATTACAGGATACCACCTAGTTGCAATAACATTGAATAGCTAAAAATGTTAAAACAAAAAAATGAAAAAAAACGAAGAAGAAGACGAAGAAGAAGAAGAAGACAGCTAAATAGGAATCAGTTGTGCTTACTAATAAACCGCGATTATAGCAATAGATGGGGGTGTCAGTAAAATGCGTGGTTGGGGACGAGGTCACCGGGGGTGGTCTATCTTTTTTTTAAAGAATGATAGTTTAGGGTCAATCCTAACCCTAAAACAGCATTCTTTTAAAAAAAGATAGATAGTTTTCGCTGAAAAAGTCGATGTACCCTAAGGTGTTTTTAATTATTAGTAAGCCTAATTAATTCCTATTTGGCTTTTACTTTTCATTTTTCCTTTAAGTATTTTTCTAAGAAAATGCAATTAAGTGTATCTCTTCTTCAAATCAGGCGAAGGTCTTGCGCCCACCCTTTCCCGGCCATCACAAATCAGTATTAGAGAGATTAAGATTCACGTTTACGCCAAACTCGAGTTGAGAATTTCTCAGAATAGAAAATAAACAGATAAAAACTGTCCAGAACAATTACTACGGATAAAACTGGCGTGAAACTACTTGTCTTTTAGTTGAAGTAATAAACAGTTAACGACAATTAAGGGAAAAACTTGGTCACGTGGTACAAATTCATTTTTGCCGTTTAGCGTAAACGTGGATCTTAATCTCTCTATGACTTAGTTTGACGCACCTGCTCCAAATTATTATCTGTTTACTAGTGACAATTGTGATGATGATGATGATGATGTTGATGATGACCATGTATAATAAATAATTATAAAAACTTCACGATGACAATTTTACCTTTCGTTGACTCTTTAATTTTTTCTGGATGTGTGCGCATGCTTTCTACCTTGAACACAATCTAAGAGAAGAATTTCTTAATAAATGTTTGCATGGATAAATGATAAAACAAAACAAAAGGTAGACAAAAACAAAACAAACCAAAATATGACAGTGAATCGGTTTGATTGGTCGGAAGAAGGCTAACCTGCGATCAACTATCTTACTTTCCTTTTGCTTGGGAGACGTCCCCTTTCTCCGAAAAAAAAAAACGCCTGATCGCAGGTTAGCTATACAGAAGCATGCGTAAATGCATCTCAGGAGCATGCGTAAAGCTTGACAATAAAAGTATGACTAGTAAAGTCATCGATCGACTCATTTCCATCCTGGTCAGTGATCGAAAGTCGAAGACGAGCACTTACAATTTAGGCAGACTTGTAGCGTTATTATAAGCACACTGTTCTTTATTATATTGTTATTTCCGATCCCTTGCTTTCAAGGAATTTTGGGGGCTTAAAGTAATACCAAACAACTCGTGACACGCGTGCTTCTTTCAGCTGTGGCCTAGCTTCACTAAGATGAATTTTCTTTGTCTTCTTTTGCCTTTTTTATCATGTTGAAAGCAACATAGCACAACTCACAGTGCTACTGGAATAGAAAAACGAGAAAGTAGCCCACGGGTGTGGTTTATCTATCTTTCATGGTTGGTTTTGGGGAATAGGCTTTTGTAGGCATTTACATACAGTGCTTGGCACTGGCTGTCGTGGTCAGTTTTCTCCTCAACCGAAGCGAAGCTTCCAGCTACTCGTCTATATTTATGTCAGTACTGCCGGCAGCCTAAATATATTTCTATACCTTTTTTGAATCACACATTTTCCTCGGAAATATAGAGTCGTTCAAGTGGCGAAACAACCAAGTGGCTTTGCAGCATTCGTTTGAACAATCACTCCTGGTCAAAG